ATATATATATATATATATATATATATATATATATATATATATATATATATATATATATATATATATATATATATATATATATATATATATATATATATTATTGTAATACATTAGACCATTTATGTTAATACACTTGATTTGTTGGTGTTGTTATTGTTGTTGTATATACTATCAACCCTGAAAAAATTAAAACGAGAGACTGAATATACAGTATCTGCTAATACTCGTGGCTTACGTTTGTCTATTCCAGTTGCTATAGAAAATGTTGATACAAAAAAATGAAATGGCGAAAAATGAATGAATATCAAATTCATCTATTAGCAAAAAAAATGAAATGGCGAGATATTTTCTTACGAAGTTTTGTTATAGCATCTATAACCGCTTTCGGTTTAGAAGGGCAACCTGGCAAATATTCATCTACAGGAATTAGCTTATCGACTCCCCGAATAGTTCTATAAGAATCGGTACTGAACATCCCGCCTGTAATTGTACAGGCTCCCATAGCAATAACATATTTTGGTTCAGGCATTTGCTCATATAATCTCACTAAGGAGGGGGCCATTTTCATTGTCACTGTTCCGGCTGTTAAAATTAGATCCGCTTGTCTAGGACTCGATCTTGTTACTAATCCATAACGATCAAAGTCGAAGCGCGAGCCTACTAGTGAAGCAAATTCAATGAAGCAACAACTTGTACCATAAACAAATGATATTATTTTCTTTAATATTTTTTAGAAATGCTCAGCCATGTATTTTACAATTTCTCTGTAACTTCAAATGGCTGGGCCTAGAGATGAACGTGGCCCAATAGGAGCCTGAAGTAGTTGTTGTTGGACAGACGTATAACTTGGGTTTAAATTTTACGGTATAGCCAGTTTTCGGACTGGTCAATCAAAAATAGCCAGCGTTTACCAAGTCAATGAAAAATAGCCACTATTTTGCTGCAATAGAGACCGGTCCAGCATAATATACTGGAGTTCGGTGCACTTGTGTATGAACTCCAACATATTATGTTGGACCGGTATAGTTTGTTGGCTCCAGTATAATATACTGGAGACTGGAGCACCGGTGCTCCAAACTCCAGTATATTATACTGGACCAATATACTTGCTGGAACTCCAGTATATTATGCTGGAGTTCTAGTGTACTTATGCTGGAACTCCATCATATTATGCTGGAGTTCCAACATACTTATTCTTGAACTCCAGTATAATATGCTGGAGTTCAAGTATACTTATGCTGGAACTCCAGCATAATATACTGGAGTATTTTTCGGGTTTTGAACAGTGTTTTCGCTCAGATTTATCTTTATATAAAAAGTGGCTAAATTTCGATTACTTTTGAAGTTGGGCTATTTTTGAACGACCAGTTGTAAATCTGGCTATTTTTAAAATTTACCCTTTGGAGCTAAGAGCAAATATCATTTATTGTCGGGAAATTTTCGTTCATATACCATATAGGAAACTATATTACCAAATATGTTCTTAGTTTGCATATTACCTGCTATGCTAATAGTATTTCTACAAAATATAGACAATTCATTAAATAAGGAATCATTGTAGTTGTAGGCTTCCTTATTCAGGCGCGCTAATATTGGGGAATTAAATATTCTTCCAGATATTTTACAACGCAAATCACGCATTAATAATTATAGGCTGTTTCTATTCAAAATTTAGCGACTCTGTTTTTGCGATACACTGTGTTTCAATATTTTTTCTGATTTCACAAATCAAAAACGGCTAAATCTTCTACAATTCTTCTGCAACAAACGCAATTATGTCCAAAATTCCAATTATGCTATAACTGAATAGGAATTGGGATAGCTATGGAAGATTTAGAGAATTTCAGGTCGATGGCATTGTAGTCGATGAGGATGCGAGTTATAGTCTATTGATTTCTATAATAGCACAACAATTAATGATCGATACATCCGAAAAAATTATAGAAATCAAATAGATTGGCAACGAGCATTGTCCTCCAATGGAAATTAGGAACGATATGGGTTTTCGTGTATACATGGAGACGAAAAAGGAAACAAAAACTTAGGATCATATCCGCTATGTATAACTGTTCGCGATTTTAATATGGAACTGAGTATCACCAATGAGAACACCGTTGCATGTTTGTGCTGTTACATTTTCTATCAAATTCTGGTTGTATAAACAACACGTCAGAGTAAATATATATATATCAGTATGGATTTTCACAATATCTACAAAAATTTTACATTTATTCTACAATAAAACTACATATCATTTGAAAAATTAATATGAAATACAGAATTTTAATGTTTCTACAAATTATCTACAAAATTTCTACAAACTGTTCATAACAGTATTTATCTTTATTTTCATGCAGGTTTGTCTGGAACACTAAAGTTACTTGATATGCTAACATCTCCCGTTATAGAGGAATATGAAAGTATAATAATAACAGATAATAGATAATTTAAATCAGATAGTAGATATTTTATTGGTCCATAAAAATAAAATATTAAAATTCAATGTACCCAGTTTGTAGATAATTTGTACTCTGATTGTAGATATTTTGTTTTCTCTTTGTACTGTAATTGTAGGTGAGGGCTTCAACAGGTCATATCCATACTGTGATAGATGGTGTGAAGCGGTCCATTGTGTGTCTTGAAAACAAGAGATGTAGCTGTGGGCAATTCCAGCTTGATGAACTTCCTTGTGCATGCTTTGGCTGCTTTAAGGCACAGGAATGAGTCTTATGAAAACTATTGCTCACCGTTTTACACAAGGGAGAGCCTAATGCGTACTTATGAAATACCAGTAAATCCCCTGCCTGATGAAAGCAAATAGAATGTGTCACAACATATATCTAAAGAAGTAGTAAATCCACCTACAGGAGGGAAAAGGCAGCCAGGAAGACCTCAAAAAGAAAGATACAAAACATATGATGAAATAAATTCAAAGAAGTACATGGTTTCATGTGGCAACTGCGGAGGAGAAGGGCATAACAAAAGATCTTGCAAGAATGCACCCAAAAAGAAATAAAATTTTATGTAGTTAACAGAATATTTCATAAAAGTTATTGGTGAGTTCAGGATAACAGAATTTGATGTGTAATTGTTGAGGTTTTTTAAGATCATGATGTAGTTAGTTAGGATTTTTCTGTATTGAGATAATACTTTCATAGAGTGATTTATTTATGAATGGATTATATATATATAATCTGCCACTTTTTTACTATCTCTAGCATCCTTTACATAGTTGTTAATGTTTTTTTTGCAATTTATCTATAATACAACTACAAAAAAAATTACATTAACTGAAATTGACAGAATAACTACATTATAAATGAGTAGGAAATGAGTTATATACTTAAATATTGTAGATCAAGTACTGTTTACATTCAACAAATGAATATAAAAGCAACAATACACATTGCTAAATATTTTTTACAAATTATCTACAAATTCAACTACAAAATAACTACAATAGCTGGAGCTGACATAATAACTAGATTATAATTCAGCTAGAAAGAAGTTATATGCTAAAAATAATGTAGATCAGGTACTGTTTACATTCAACAAATTGAATGTAAAAGCAACAAAATATTTAGTTACTAATTTTTACACTTTATCTACAGAAAAACAACAAAATAACTACATATTTTTGCGTTGACAGAATAACTGTATAAAAATTCAGTTGGAAAGGATTTATATGCTAAAATAATGAAGATCAAGTACTGTAAACATTCAACAAGTGAATATAAAACCAACAGAATGTTTCCATTTGAACTACTATACTGGATAAGAAAAACAAAAGGCTACTATAGGCATATAAATTTTATTAAATTAAATTCATAAAAGAATTTGGATTATATTTTAAATTCAAGATATAATAGTCCAAATAAATATTATGGGCTAATATAATTGAATTAATTATATAAGTCCAATATATATGGATTAAATAAATAAGCCTTAATACATTGGGCTAGTCTATTTAATTGGCTTAAAGTGATGAGCCCACTTTATTAAGCCCAAGATGTCATATTCCTAGAGGCCCAGTGGCACGTGTCAAATGACCCAAGTCAAACGGAAGAGCCAATAGGATCATGCCACGTGTCAAAATGACAAGGCATGCTAAGTCACACTAAGAGGCCAATAAAATCGCGCCACGTGTGCAAGTGACATGTTCTGGCCAATCAAATGCGGCCATGTCACACTTCAATTTGATTGGTCGGAAAGAGTTTGTTCTTATCATGACTCCTCCCTTCCACAACTATAAATAGGGGTCTTCACAACCCAGAAAAGACACCAGAAGCTATAACAAGAAGCAAGAAAGAGCTCGTAGATCAAATGCTGCAAATTCCTCCACAAGTTTCAAACTTCAAGCAATCAAGTTTAATCTCAAGAACGAAGAACAAATCAAGTTCGGGCTCAAGAACGAGGAACAAAGCAAGTTCAAGTTCAAGTAATCAAACTCAAGATCAAGAACGAAGTCAAATCAAATACAAGGCGTTCAAGATCAAGGCTACTTGTTCGTGATAAAATTCGTGGCAACAATCAAAGTGTTCGCAACGGATAAATCAAATTCAAATTCAAGATCAAGCTTGAAGGCCCTTGAATTTATATTAGAAAAGTAGAATCAGAGGATCCATAGAGATTGTAACACTCAAATATTCGAAATAAAATACTACGATTGTTGCAATATTTTTCGGTCTTGGTTTTATTTTCTCGACGCAAATTTATTGTCTACAAATTCTGGCACGCCCAGTGGGACCATCTCTACCTCTCATCTCAACTTTTCAATCACAAAAGTTCGAGAACATTGAAATGGCTTCAAGGAAAATCAACTCTGGTTCAACTTTCACTAAGGCTGCTAACTCCAGGTTCTATGCTGATGTGGAAAACATCCTCGATGTTACCTTTGGAAGCTTCGGACCAGTTACGAGGAGCAAAGCAAGCTCTTTAGCAATAGGCACCCCAAGTGCCTTCCGCGTCAACCCCTGTTTTCGGATATTCATCCTCAAAAGGAGCAAGATCTTCCACAAACGCATCTGAAGGAGGAAGCGATGTTGCTGAAAAGATCAAGAAAACTCTTGCTCTGCTTGACCTCTCCGGATCCAAGCACTCTGCTGTGAAGGAAGATGATTATGCTTCAAGTGATGGATCCTCCCCACTTACACCACATAGTGCGAACCATTCAAGGATCAATCTTTGTGAAAATCCATGCTAATCTCCGTCGTCCACGACAATCATGCAAGCCATGGTGACAAACACTTCATCTATGGAGGAGCAGTTGGCAAACTTGATGGAAGCAATCGTTGGCTTGACCAAATGCATGCAAAATCAAGAGGCTAGAATTGAAAAGCTAACAGACAGGATGGGAATCTTGATGGAAGAAGAATCCACCCATGCACCTGGCAAGCTCCCAAAAGTTCTAGAGAGTGACTCTCCCCCAAGACAAGCAACATCCACTAAGGCTATCACTGTCTCATCTGAAGGGATGATTCCACGATCAACTGAAGGAGTTCATTGAAGGAACCATTAAGAACAAATATGAAGTTGCTGCCAAATCCTCCCTTATATATGCAAAGCCGTACACTGCAAGGGTCGATATGTTGAAGATGCCTGCTGGCTATCAACCTCCAAAGTTTCAACAGTTTAATGGTAGAGGTAACCCAAAGCAACATGCTGCGCACCTCGTGGAGACGTGCAACAATGCTGGGACTTATGGAGATTACCTCATCAAGCAGTTTGTCCACTTGCTAAAAGGAAATGCTTTTGACTGGTACACAGACCTCGAGGCTGGATCTATCAATAGCTGGGATCAACTAGAGCAAGAGTTCCTCAATCGCTTTTATAGTACGAGATGTATTGTGAGTATGATAGAACTTACAAATACTCGTCAACGAAAGGGGGAACCAGTTACCGACTTTATCAATCGTTGGAGGAATGCAAGCCTCAACTGCAAAGACAGGCTTAATGAAGCTTCAGGCATAGGATGTGCATCCAAGGCATGCATTGGGGATTGCGCTACATCTTGCAAGGTATCAAGCTTGGCACATTCGAAGAACTTGCAACTCGTGCCCATGACATGGAATTGAGCATGGCCTCCGCTGGAAATGAAAGGCTGCGCGTCTATGAACCTCGCAAAGGGAATGACAAGCAAGAAGTCAGGAAGTGGGGAAAGTTCGTACCCAAGTCTGAAAGCAAAGAAGCTATGAATGTCAACACGTCACCTATGAAGTTCACGACGAAGGTGAGCAAGAAGCAGATTATGAAATCCACTTCTTTTCAAGATAAGACAAGTGGAAAGTTGACTCTAAAAGAAATGCAGGAGAAAGAGTACCCATTCCTGGATTCTGATGTGCCAGCCATTTTTGAAGAACTCCTCGAGTTAAATCTCATTGAGCTTCCGGAGATGAAGCGACCAAATGAAGCTGGGAAAACGAATGACCCAAATTACTGCAAATATCACCGACTTGTAAGCCACCCTCTGGAGAAGTGCTTTGTCTTCAAGGACAAAGTTATGGACTTGGCCCGTGAAAAGAAGATCGTGCTTGAAGATGAGAAAGCAAGCGCGAACCAAGTCTCTATCACATTTGGCTCATTCAGTCTAGATGAGTTATGTAGCTTAAAAGGAATCTAAAATGAAGAATTACTGGTGAACAACAAAGTTGAAGACGATCAACCTGATGATGATGAAGGTTGGACGTTGGTGACTCGTCGTAGGCGCCACAAAAGGAGCCCATGAAAAGAATCAATAGAACAACCAGCAAGGAAGATGATGGTAAAAAGACCAACGAAAAAGAATCCAGTTAGGCATTTGAAGAAAGCAAAAGTGGAGATGCACCATTCTAAAAAGCCACGAAATCCAGTGACCTTGGAGGAGTTTTTACCAAGTTGGTTCCGCACGAAGATTTCCCATGAGGGTATCGATGCCTCTTGTTGCCATGCTGACAAAGGGGAAGAAAAGAGTGATGACCTACCGTTGGAACCATCTTCGGAAAATCTCACTGAGTCCACTCCTTAAGAAGTTAATGCTTGTGAGGAAAAAGTCACATTTACAAATGACGATCTTCTGCTAGGTGACACTCTTCATAACCGCCCATTGTATCTGGTTGGCTATATGCGTGATGAAAGGGTAAATCAAATTTTGGTTGATGGAGGATCCTCAGTGAACATTTTGCCAATTCGTACTGTGAAAGAACTTGGTATTCCCATGAACGAACTCTCAGAAAGTCGTGTGATGATCCAAGGATTCAACCAAGGGGGGCAAAGAGCCATAGGCGCGATCAGGCTGGAAATCACCATTGAAGATATGCAATCAAGTGCATGGCTACATGTGATCGATGCGAAAACTTCATACAATGTCTTGCTTGGAAGGCCTTGGATACATGAGAATAAAGTGGTTCCATCTACCTACCATCAATGTTTAAAATACTACGAGGGTGAAGTGGAGAAGAAGATAGTTGTTGATGATGAGCCATTCACCGAGGCAGAGTCACACTTCGCCGATGCAAAGTTCTACTTGAAGAATCGCATTGTGAAGGAGATAAAAGTTGGATGGCATGAAAAGCAAGAATGACGAACCCATAACTAAAAGAGCTGAGGTGACTATTGGTAAAGCCAAAGCTGTTACTGAGGAGGTACCTGCCAACGTGAATAAATCTCATAAAGGGGGTATTGCGTCTTATGGAAAAAAAGTAAGTCCCGCGCTCCAATATGTCCCTAAAAGGAAGAAAGACGAGGGCGAATCATATAATCTCCAAACCAAGACGCTAAGGGAGTTAACTCTTCCGGTAAAACGAATTGAGGCAGTAATGTTGTCCTCAAAGTCGCTTGCATGGTTTGTAGCCCAAAATCATTTGCAGAATGTGGCACTCCCTACAAAGCGAACAGATGAAGGTTTTGATCCTAACGCTTACAAGCTATTTGCAAAAGCTGGATACAATCACAATGAGCCGTCAAAGTTAGGAAAGCTCCCATCAGAAGCTGCAATGAGGAAACCACGTGAAGGTATGGGATACAAGCAACCGTCACCAGTGCGCATCTCAATAAGAAGGGCGAGTAGCAATTATATCAGTGTAGAAGATGAATCTACCGCTTCTAACATGCCTTCTGTCTTTGATCGACTTGGAAAATCAACTGTGAGAACTTCCATATTTTAGAGATTGGGTCCATCAAAGAAGGGGAATAAGTTCCAAAGAAATTATCGAAATACAAGAACACCCGCTTCACCCGAAATTCACAAGATCTCTAAAGATTTCCAAAGTTTGGTTCCTTCTAGAATGAAGCGACAAACAAAAGTCATGGTTTCGTGTGATGAAGTACTGAAGGTGAACCCATACCCTGTGGTCTACACTAAAGAACGTGATGAAGACGAAGAAAGTGTGGGTTCTTCGTATCATGTTACTGCACAAGGTGAGCCTGGTGTTTTATCTCTAATGGAGGATGACGAGAAATTGGACGATGTTTCACCATGTTATCACATATCCTTCAACGATGGGGACCCTCAAGAAGATGAAGATGCAAATGATTCTCCTCCAGAACTTGAAGAAGGGGTGAAGGCAACGATTGATGCCTTAAAAGAAGTTAACCTTGGAACTGATGAAGAACCAAGACCCACCTACCTAAGTGCTTTACTAGAAGTTGATGAAGAAAGCACTTATATTGAGTTACTTAAGGAGTTCAGGGACGTCTTCGCTTGGACTTACAAAGAGATGCCTGGCTTGGACACGAAAGTAGCAGTCCATCACCTTGCAGTACAAAAAATGGTGCTCGCCCTGTTAAACAAGTGTTAGTTTCATTGAATAAATAGTAGTAAATAACCCTAATCCCATATGTATTAGGAGTAAGACATGGATTGTATATATAGGGCTCATTGTAGCATGGTCAATTAATTAATCAATAAGATTTTTCTCCCGTGCAGTCTCGCATGGTATCAGAGCAACCGTGAGAAATTTACCGCTGTGCATAAATTCCAGCGACTCCGGGAAGAGAAAACAGTCAACCGGAAGCCCTTTTTTCCGACAAAAATAGTCTGTCCGCAAGAATCATACTATCCGTTGGTGTTGTGCAAAAACCAACACCACCACGAGATAGATGAGCTTTCGGCGACCAAACCCTAAAAAGTTCTCCGTCAGAAACCCTCCCACGTGCCCTCACGCACCGCCAGGAAAATATTTTTCGGCAAGTCTCCGACGTCACGCGCCGGCGCGTGAGGCCTCTTCCGGCCCCATCACAATGGCCAATGGGTCTCAAGCCATGGAAATTGCAATAGGTCAAGCAAGTCCACTTCATTCCTTACCTTTAGACTCAGTTCTTTATGTTCCTGGTAGTCCTTTTAATCTCATAGCCGTTAGTCGCTTAGCCAAATCACTTAAATTTGCTGTTTCATTTCTTGATGACCTTGTTTTTATACAGGAACACAGTACAGGGCGGATCATTGGTACCGGACGTGAATTAGATGGACTTTATTACCTTATGCTTGCAAAATCACATGGACTCGCATCTTGTCTTCCTCCAATAACTTCGCCCGTTATTGATTCACCGGATTTATTACATAAACGGTTAGGACATCCCAGTTTGTCAAAACTTCAAAAAATGGTACCTGGCTTATCTCACTTGTCCACTAAAGAGTGTGAGTCGTGTCAGTTCGGTAAGCATACCCGCTCCCATTTCCCGCGGCGTCTTAATAATCGAGCAGAGTCACCTTTTTCTTTAGTACATTCAGATGTTTGGGGTCCTAGTCGGGTTAGTTCTACCTTAGGATTCCGCTACTTTGTCAGTTTCATTGATGATTATTCCAGGTGCACTTGGATATTTTTGATGAAAAATCGATCTGAGTTGTTTTCTATTTTCCAGACCTTCCACGCTGAAATTCAAAATCAATTTGGGGTTTCTATCCGTACATTTCGTAGTGATAATGCCCTGGAGTATTTGTCTTCCCCATTTTAGCAATTTATGAACTCCCATGGGATTATTCATCAAACATCTTGTCCGTACACATCCCAACAAAATGGGGTAGCTGAAAGAAAGAATAGACATCTTATTGAAACTGCTCGTACCCTACTCATACAATCTCATGTTCCGCTGCGTTTTTGGGGGGATGCAGTTCTTACATCTTGTTATCTTATTAATCGTATGCTATCTTCAGCTATCCAAAATCAAGTTCCATTCTCTGTCCTGTTTCCCCACTTACCTTTGTTCTCTCTTCCACCCCGTGTCTTTGGGAGTATGTGCTTTGTTCATGACCTTACTCCAGGAAAAGATAAGTTAGCTCCTCGTGCTCTTAAGTGCATATTTCTGGGTTACTCAAGAACGCAAAAGGGATATCGATGTTATTCTCCTGACCTTCATCGATTTCTTATGTCTGCTGATGTTACCTTCTTTGAAACCCAATCATACTTCACATGTCCAGTTAATCACTTAGATATTTCTGAGGTGCTACCCGTTCCTTCTTTTGGAGATTCAGTCCCTATCTCCCATTCATCTTCCTCCATAGCTCCACAACCTACAATTCCAGTTGCAGCTCCACCACCTATAGCTCCAGTGTCACTACCGAGTCCAGTGCCACAACCTAGTCCAGTTCCACCAACCATAGCTCCAGTGCCACCACCTAGTCCAGCTCAACCTTCTACAGCTCCACCACTCCTGACTTATCATCATCGTCCGCCCCTAGCATCAGGCCCAGCTAATTCACGTCCTGCACCTGACCCTGCTAATACTGCGGACTTGTCTCCTCTTAATCAACCGATTGCACTGCGAAAAGGTGTACGGTCCACACTTAATCCTAATCCTCATTATATCGGTTTAAGTTACCATCGTATCTCATCATCATCACATTGTGCATTTGTGTCATCTTTGTCCTCTGTTTCCATCCCTAAGTCTACAGGTGAAGCACTGTCTCATACCGGATGGCGACAGGCTATGATTGACAAGATGTCTGCTTTACATACGAGTGGTACTTGGGAGCTTGTTCATCTTCCTTCGGGTAAATCGACTGTTGGTTGTCGTTGGGTGTATGAAGTCAAAGTTGGTCCAGATGGCCAGGTTGATCGACTTAAGGCTCGTCTTGTTGCCAAAGGATATACTCAGATATTTAGACTCGATTATAGTGATACTTTCTCTCCCGTGGCTAAAATTGCATCAGTCCGCCTTTTTCTATCCCCATGGCTGCTGTTCGCCATTGGCCTCTCTATCAGTTGGACATTAAGAATGCTTTTCTTCACGGTGACCTTGAGGATGAGGTTTATATGGAGCAACCACCTGGTTTTGTTGCTTAGGGAGAGTCTAGTGGCCTTGTATGTCGGTTGCGCCGGTCTCTCTATGGTCTAAAGCAGTCTCCTCGAGCCTGGTTTGGTAAGTTCAGCACAATTATTCAGGAGTTTGGCATGACTCGTAGTGAACTGATCACTCTGTATTTTATCAACATTCTGCTTCAAATCTTTGTATTTATCTGGTCGTTTATGTTAACGATATTGTTATTACCGACAATGATCAGGATGGTATTAGTAAGTTAAAGCAACATCTCTTTCAACACTTTCAGACTAAGGGTCTGGGCAGATTAAAGTATTTTTTGGGTATTCAGGTCGCTCACAACGGAAGTATGCCTTAGATATTCTTGAGGAGACAGGAATGACAGGTTGTAGACCTGTTGACACTCCGATGGATCCGAATTCTAAACTTCTGCCAGGACAGAGGGAGCCTCTTAGCGATCCTGCAAGATATAGGCGGTTGGTTGGTAAATTAAATTACCTCACAGTGACTAGACTTGACATTTCCTTTCCTGTGAGTGTTTTGAGTCAGTTTATGAATTCTCCCTGTGATAGTCATTGGGATGCAGTTGTCCTCATTCTTCGGTATATAAAATCAGCTCCAGGCAAAGGCTTATTGTTTGAGGATCGAGGCCATGAGCATATCGTTGGATACTCGGATGCTGATTGGGCAGGATCACCTTCTGATAGACGTTCTATGTCTGGATATTGTGTCTTAGTAGGAGGAAATTTGGTGTCTTGGAAGAGCAAGAAACAGAATGTGGTTGCTCGGTCTAGTGCAGAAGCAGAATATCGAGCAATGGCTATGGCCACATGTGAGCTAATTTGGATCAAACAGTTGCTCAAGGAGTTGAAATTTTGTGAGATTAGTCAGATGGGACTTTTGTGTGATAATCAAACTGCTCTTCATATTGCGTCAAATCCAGTATTCCATGAGAGAACTAAACACATCGAGATTGACTGTTACTTTGTTAGAGAAAAGATACTCTCAGGAGATACTGCTACAAAATTTGTGAAGTCGAATGATCAGCTTGCTGATATTTTCACCAAGTCCCTCACTGGTCCTCGTATTAGTTATATATGTAACAAGCTCGGTACATATAATTTATATGCACCAGCTTTAGGGGGAGTGTTAGTTTCATTGAATAAATAGTAGTAAATAACCCTAATCCCATATGTATTAGGAGTAGGACATGTATTGTATATATTGGGCTCATTGTAGCATTGTCAATTAATTAATCAATAAGATTTTTCTCCCGTGCATTCTCACAATAAGCTCAAAGGCATTTTAGGCCGGACTTGGTTCCCTTGATTGAAACCGAAGTTAACAAACTCATCGAAGCTGGCTTTATTCTTGAAGTTAAATACCCAACATGGGTTTCAAGTATTGTCCCTGTAAGGAAGAAAAATGGATAGATTCGAGTGTGCGTTGACTTTAGGGATCTTAACAATGCATGTCCAAAAGATGAGTTCCCGCTTCCCATCCCAGAACTGATGATCGATGCTACTACTGGGTACGAGGCAATGTCATTTATGGACGATTCATCAGGCTATAACCAAATTCGCATGGCACCAAAAGATGAAGAGCTTACTGCGTTCCGCACCCCCAAGGGTATTTATTGCTACAAGGTAATGCCTTTTGGCTTGAAGAACGCTGGTGCTACTTACCAAAGAGCTATGCAAAATATTTTTGACGATCTTCTCCACAAGAATGTCGAATGCTATGTTGACGACTTGGAGGTAAAATCAAGAGAGAAGGGCGACCACTTGAAAGACTTGAGAATGGTGTTTGAGTTGCTCCGGAGGTACCAAGTTAGGATGAATCCATTGAAATGCGCCTTTGGAGTTACTTTTGGGAAGTTCCTTGGTTTCATTGTTCGACATCGAGGGATTGAAATTGATCAATCCAAAATAGATGCAATCTTGAAAATGCCTGAGCCTCGGAATATTCATGAATTGAAAAGTCTGCAAGGAAAGCTAGCATACCTTAGGAGATTCATCTCAAACCTATCTGGGAGGTGCCAACCATTCAGTCGCCTTATGAAGAAAAATGTCCCTTTGAAATGGGACCAAGCATGTAGCAATGCCTTTGAGAGCATTAAATCCTACTTGATGAAGCCTCTGGTTTTGGCAGCCCCTATACTTGGAAAGCCGCTGATACTATACATTTCAGCATAAGAAAGGTCTGTTGGAGCGCTGTTGGCCCAAGAAAATAGTGAAGGGAAAGAAAACTCCCTTTACTACTTGAGCACGATGATGACACCAAATGAGCTGAATTATTCACCAATTGAAAAGTTATGTTTGGCTCTAGTCTTCTCAATTCAAAAGTTGAAGCACTACTTTCAAGCTCATGTCGTTCGTTTGGTTTCTTGAGAAAATCCCATCAAGTTCGTGATGTCAAAACCTGTCCTCAGTGATCGACTAGTAAGGTGGTACCTCCAGTTTTAACAATTTGAAATCGTGTACATCCCTCAAAAGGCTATAAAAGGACAAGCGTTAGCGGACTTCTTGGCGGATCACCCTATACCTGATGATTGGGAGCTAACTGATGAACTACCTGATGAGGACGCCATGGTCATCGAAGTTCAGCCTCCCTGGAAGATGTACTTTGATGGTGCTGCACATCGCGGAGGAACTGGTGCTGGTGTAGTATTTGTCACCTCTCAAAGTGAAGTTCTGCCCTACTCTTTTACGCTGGCGCAATTCTGCTCTAACAACGTTGCTGAGTATCAAGCACTAATACTTGGGCTCGAAATGGCTGTCGAAATGAAGCGGTTGCAATTGCAAGTCTTTGGTGACTCTCAGTTAGTGGTCAATCAACTTTTAGGTAGTTACGAGGTCAAGAAGCCTGAACTACTCCCATATCATGATTACGCTAAAAAGTTAATGGGGTAGCTCGGTGATATGACTATTCAGCATGTGCCAAAGAAAGAAAATAAGAAGGCGGATGCTTTAGCTGCCCTAGCTTCATCTTTAACCCTGCCTGATCAAGCGCAAATTACTATCTGCCAAAAATGGGTAGTACTGCTGCCAAATGAGGTTGAAGGTGAAGAAAATGAACTCAAGCATCTTGTTGCTTTTTCTGAAGTCGAGAAAGAAGAATGGAGACAACCCATTATCGACTACTTGTGCTATGGGATACTTCCAGAAAATTTGCGGAGAAGAACTGAAATTCATCGTCGTGCACCTCGCTTCCTTTACTACAAAGATACCCTATACAGAAGATCATTCGAGGGAGTACTCTTGCGATGCTTAGGGGAAGATGAAACACTCCAAGCTTTGCAAGAAGCGCATTCAAGGGTATGTGGGGCACACAATTCTGGACCAAAGCTCCACTTCCATATAAAAAGGATGGGATACTATTGGCCAACGATGGTAAAAGATTGCTTGGACTATGCTCGAAGATGCAAGGCTTGTCAATTCCATGCGAATTTTATTCATCAACCTCCTGAAGTGTTGCACCCGACCGTTGCATCCTGGCCGTTTGACGCTTGGGGATTGGATGTTTTTGGACCACTACCAAAGTCCTGTAGTGGGCACCTATACATCTTGGCTGCAATTGACTACTTCTCAAAATGGGCTAAAGATGTTGCTCTTAAGGAAGTAAAGAAGGAAAATGTTGCAAGTTTCATCCGAGTAAACATTATCTATCGCTTTGGCATTCCTCGTTACATAATAAAGGATAATGGAAAACCGTTCGATAATAGGCTGATGAACAAGATTTGTGATCTCTTTGGCTTCAAGCAACGTAACTCTTCGATGAACTGTTGATACCCAATTTTTCCCTACGTATTTTTTTCATATACAAAATACTTTCAAAATAACATATATATGCATATATAAGCATGCCCAAGTATTTTGGTATTTTTCATAAATTTTAAAGATTTTTAAAATTAATTTATTGTCCATTTTAGCAATACAAAAATCAGTAACTTTTCCCAAAACTATCAACTTTGGTGAATAGTTTATTTCATTCTCATACTTACACCAAAATACAGTTAAGGTGATATTTGTATATTTTTACAATTTTATTTGGTATTTTTAAAAGCCAAAATACATACAATTGCAATTTTAGCCTATTTTAGGATTAATAGCATTTCTATAATTATAAAACCGGTTCCAGCATTTTTTAATTAACATTTATATATTACTAATTGGTTCAGTGCTTTTAATTTGTTTTTAAAATCATTTTACTATTTTTTATAAATAAAAAGGGTAAAACTGGCTATTTAACATTTAGCCTCATTTCATTTCAATTACAGCCTCTTTTACATTTCAATTTTAACCCTTAATTGACCCAATCTCAACCCCAACCGGACCGGCCC